CACGAGATTGCATAAGAGTATGGTTATATTGTTGCACTAGATTGCATATGAGTATGAGTATATTATTGCACTAGATTGCATATGAGTATGAGTATATTGTTGCACTAGATTGCATAAAAGTATGATTATATTGTTGCACTAAATTGCATAAGAGTATGATTATATTATTGCACTAGATTGCATATGAGAATGAGTATATTGTTGCACTAGATTGCATAAGAGTATGATTATATTGTTGCACGAGATTGCATAAGAGTATGATTATATTGTTGCACGAGATTGCATATGAGTATGAATATATTATTGCATTAGATTGCATAAGAAGTATGATCATAATGTTATACGTGATTGCATGCGAATAGAGTATCGTAAGAGATTGTATAACGAGAAGTTTGACTTAAGGTATTCCTTGAGCATGATTATTATGTTGTATTAGAAGCTCTACTTATCAAGTTATGTGATAAGAATGTGAAAGCATGTAAACACCTGTTATATGCTCTTTTAACATGATCCTATCCGTAAGCATGAGTTGCTTGTTAAGTTATCTGAGAAGTTTATAAGCTGTTGAATCTATGTGATTAGTCTTGTACATACATGAGCATGCCAGCTGATATTATAGGGTGTAAGCATCTAGAAAGAATGTGATAAATCTTAAGATGATTTGAGATTAGCTTATTGCTATAAAGATATCAAATGTTTTCACAGTATATGGTAGAATGTTTTACAGGGTTGAGTGTGGTTATACTTAGCTGCGTGCTAACGAGTGTTTTCCTATTTGTCTATGTGTTGCTTGCAAAACCCCTTTCAGGTGGGCCCAACTCTATGAAGAAGTCGAGTTAGATTAGTCTCGTAGATAGAGAAATCTAAACTCTAGTTCGGTTGATGATTATGGTATGGAATTAGACTTATGACTTTATACTCTTTGATGATGTTGTAGACTTTTGGGGTGACGTTTTTCCCCCTTACGTTTCCAGTATTTATTTTTAGTACCCAGACTTAATCTTATTTCTAGTTTTACCCCTTTTAGCTTGTGCAACCACCAAAGAGTGGTGGTTGTGGCGGTGACACTCTCACTACTTATCTTCTAGTTTTCCACTGCTTAATTTATGTTAATGACTGTTTAGAGATGTAATTAAGAGTTAGAAAAGTGGGGTGTTACAGGTTCCCACCTGAGTGGTAAGTACCTCCACGGAGTCCTGCAAAGCCTGGAACCTAGTATCTATCTTGCTGTTTAGCTCGATGACTGAAGCTTCAAGCTTCCTGATCCTTTCGTCCATGGTGGGCTCTGATACCACTTGGAATGCTCCTTGGAATTGCAACAGAAAATTGGGAAAGGGGTTTGGGTAGAATTTAGGGTAAAGAAGAGAAGAAGAATTTAGAAAAGGAAATTATGATTGTTATTCAGCATAAGGAACTTCTACATCTCTACTCCATTTAAACAAGGAAGGGAAAACAGCTAAGCAATCCACTACCCAACAATTCCTGATCATAACAAAACTGTTAAAACGAGCTGGCAAGAGTAAAACGACGTCGTCTGAATCGGCCTTCAACTTATTCCAACGACCCAGGGAACGACGTCGTCTGATGTTCCTTGTAAACGGCTTTTAACGTCCCTTTATCCCACGACGCCGTTTTGTCTATCTTCTCCAACCTCTTTCCCTGCCACTTCTCTTCCAACCTTTCTCAACCTAACCTTCCTCCTCCTTTTCCAACTGATAGAATCATTGATGTCAGTGTGCAGGGCTGTTACAAGTTTTTATTTTGATATTAATGTTTTAATTAATTGTATTTATATTAATATATTAAATTGATAAATATCTGTTATTCTATATTTGGTTTATCAGTCTCAGGTTCTCTAACAGGTCCAATATTTGTTGAAGATCTTTCCTTCAAGACAAAACTTAAAAAGGCATTATTGGCTTATTGAATTAATTTAAGTTTGCTTATTACTGTAAGTGTTAGTTTACTTAGTTTAAGTTTACACATTAGTATTTTGTAATGTTAGTTCAGGGATTAGGTTTCAATCCTTCAATTGTGGGATTGATGTAAAGTTATTATTATTTGTGTAGTTGTACACATAGTTTGAAAATTAAAGAAATTTAAATGTACACCTTATAGTCACATAATACTTAAGACATAATGTTTTAAGTCTACTTAAAATCAAGGGAAACAATATTCTCCAAAATCTTAAATTAAGCTCTACTTAGAATAAATTCAGCAGTCCACACCCAAGAGTATTAGCTCTACTATAAAGCATTCCAGTGGTCTGAAATGTCTATGTGTGCGATGAATGAACTTCTTCAATTACGATAGGTATATCCCTGACAATTTGGACAATGGAAATCAATTAACCTTAAGCTATTACCAAATTATAATACATGTCTTAAGGCTAAGAGATAACCCATGTCTTACAAAACCTATTTTCCTTGCTATTGTTTATTGATTGGCTCCGATTGAATGATTGATTGTGTGATTTTGTATGTATATCTTGTTAGAGCTTGTCTTTAGGTTTATATGGTGAATAATTGCTATTCTTGATGGCTCTGTATGGTTATTGGTTTGATCTTGTATTTAATTATGTCTAGAGCTTGTCCCTAGGGTTTATATCGTGAATCTCGTGTTGTGATGTTCTTGGTATTCTTGGGTGGGTTTATGCATGCTCGGGTGTTGATTCTAGTCTAGTACTTGTCTTTAGGGCTTTGCATATAGATTTCTTGATGTTCTTGAGGTTCCGGATGCTCCTGAACCGTTATGTGATTGAGGTCGAGTCTTGGCATGTTTAGGAATCGTGTTAGAATGTGATTGAATGATTCTTGGTTCTATCTTTGTTAATCGAATCCATGTTGTTGTTGATACGTGTTGGAATGTGTTTGGACATGGTTTTGGGTTCCACGAACAAACACCGAACCGAATATTTACCTTTGTACTAGTGGGGGGGTAGGTGGGGGGAGTGAACCCCCGCCACCTACCCGCGGCCTGACTGCCCGGTTCCAGCGGGCAGCCGGCGGGCAGTCGATTGCCCGCCTGGCACCCGCTGGAATGTGACCGCCCACCCGCTGGAATGGGGTGGCGCGGCGGGTCGTTTTTCCCCGTTTGTCGTTTCCCCGTGTCCCGTTGTGCCCTCTTCGATGTTTATGTGTCTCGTATTATGTTTTGAGTACCGTTCTAGGAATTTATATGTAGTGTGTACCGTTGCTAACATACTTTGATTGCTATTGTTGATTTTGTGTTGTTTGGTTGAATGATGGTGGGTATTGTGATCATTGCGCAATGATGGTTGAGATCGATGATAATGAGATTGTGATTGGTGGAAATGAATTATTGGCGGATAGCACAACGAGTGCTCGGTTATCGTGCTAATGGCACGGACTACCCCTTAGACTTGCTGGCTGAAGACTTGGGTCAGGGTATAAGCGGAGCGGTGCCATGTCAGAGCTATATGCGCTGACCCCTTGGTAGTGGTGCTAGAGGCACGGATCATGCGAATGGAACTTCGGTGCTACCATGTTGGTGGTATGTCGGTGGGGGCATGTAGTTGCACGGAGGGATAAGGGAGGCGATATAAGGGTGACCTAGAGGTACAGGTTGGAACTGATATAAGGATGGAGAGGAGTAAAGGTTGGAACTTGGTATAAGGTTGGAAGATGGATTGTGTGCTTTGATGATTACTTGCTACTTGATTGTCACTGGATCCCGTCGTTACCTTTAATTGCTATTTATGAGCTTATTTGTCTATTATGCTTTGCAAGCGTAGGATGCATGCTAGTATCTCTATAATATACGAAATGTTGCCTTATTGGTGGTGTCTCGAGTCTTGATCCTGGTTTTAAAGCTAGAGTTTGTTTAGGATTATATATGTATTCCAGTCTCAAAATGGTTTTCTTATATCTACCTATATTGTACTTAACGCGTGGAGTGTGTTACCAGCATTATTCGCTGACGGTTGTTACACCGCATGTTTTTCAGGTGCAAATTAGTAGCTTCAGAGTGCGCTAGATGGATACGAGGACCCAGCTTAGTTAGTTTAGTATTTGTTGGATAGCTTGCGTGCCCTGATTTGTACTCGATTATGGATTTATAGATTTATGCTTTGTTTAGTTAGTTTAGCCTGTGCATCTAAGTTCTCTAGCTTAGATGTGGCATAACACCCCGACTCGTATGCTTAGCTTATGCTCTGTTTGGGAAATAATGTTAGATTCGTCTTTATTTCGTAAGTTTTAAATGTTTTAAAAATTAGGGGTGTTACACCGAGACAGCACAGCAGGCTGTCTCGGTGGCAGCCACTCGTCCGCGAGGGCGTCCATGCGGCCGTTCTACTCGGCCGAATGTCTGCATGCACGATATGGAGACACGGAGCTAGTCTGCGCACCACCTACAGTTTTGACAGCTCAAGTTTGCACCACTGATCCTACTTGTTACACACAGACTGTCAAACACTTGGAATGGCGTCAGACCATGGATGAGGAATTTAATGCTTTACTACAGAATCAGACTTGGTGTTTAGTTCCGTCTCAATCTAATCAGAATGTGATTGGCTGTAAATGGATTTTTCGAACCAAGAGAAACGCGGATGGTTCAATTGAGAGATACAAAGCCAGGTTAGTAGCAAAGGGATTCAATCAGGTTCCTGGCTTGGACTTTTGTGACACATTCAGTCCGGTTGTAAAACCTACCACAATCAGGTTACTTCTTTCTTTAACTATATCCTTTGGTTGGACTGTGAGACATCTAGATGTTCATAATGCTTTTCTCAATGGTCATTTCACTGAAACTGTTTATATGCGACAGCCACCTGGATACATTGACGTTCAATTTCCTAATAATGTCTGTTTGTTGAAGAGATCCTTGTATGGGTTGAAACAAGCTCCGAGAGCTTGGTTTAACCACCTTCATACGTTTTTATTGTCTGTTGGATTCCAGGCATAAAATGTGTCACTATTTTATTACTCCAAGAATTCTACTTATGTTTATCTTTTAGTTTATGTTGATGACATTCTGTGATGGGAAGTGATCCGAATCTTGTTAGTTATTTATTGTCAAAATTGTCTACTACTTTCAAGATTGGGGATCTTGGTGAACCAGGTTTCTTTCTTGGTATTGAAATCGTTAAGTGCAGTGATGGGATCCTTCTATCTCAACAACGGTATATGCTTGATATTTTGAAACGTGCTGGTATGACTTATTGCAAAACTCTGTCCACCCCAATACCTGTTTCGAAATCTCTTTCTAACTCTACAGACTACAGATTTATATGATGATCTTACGTAATATCTGAGCCTGGCTGGAGCTCTTCAGTATCTTACTTTCACCAGACTAGATTTATCCTTTACAGTTAATCAACTTTGTCAACATATGCATGCTCCTACGATCACTCATTGGGAACAAGTCAAGCGTGTGTTGAGGTATGTCAAAGAGACTCTATCTTATGGATTACATATCCGAAAATCTGAGTCTAGAGAATTTGCATGCCTTCTCTCACTTAGACTGGGCTGGCTGTCCTGAGGATCGTAAGTCAACCAGTGGTTATGCTATTTTTCTTGGATCAAATCTTGTGTCTTGGGTGTGCAAGAAGCAATGAACTGTGGCCATATCTTCTACGGAGGCTGAATACAGGGGTTTAGCTGATGTTTGTGCTGAGGTAATCTGGGTTATCTCCCTCTTACGAGAGATTGTTGTGACTAGGATCTCTGTTCTCAAGCTGTGGTGTGATAATCTTGGTGCTACTTATCTATGTGTTAATCCCATTTTTCATGCTCGCACTAAACATGTTGAGATTGACTATCATTTTGTGAGAGACGGAATTGCCAAGGGAGAGATTCAAGTCAACTTTATCTCCACCAAAGATCAACTTGTTGATATATTCACAAAAGCTTTAGTAGGTCTTAGGTTTTCTTTTCTTAGAGACAAGCTACAGGTCACACCTGTACCCTGTGCTCGAGTGGGACTATTAGGACTCTATGTATTTGAGTCAGGTTATGATTCACAATCCTAGTCTCTTTATGATTCACAATCCTAGTCCCCCTCTGTCTCCTCTTGTATATATACCTAGAATCTGTACTCTTGTAATTATCACTATTAATACAATCAATAACAGTTCTCATCGTTTCTTCTATATGTTTATAAAAACAAAGTTCAATGTACATAAACATTATATTACAGACGCATCATGTACTATGTTCATAATATTTATTTTATGCGTCCATATATACGAAACTAAATATATATCATATGTATTTTCATTCCTTTTATAGTAGGTTTATGATGTTTTTTCTATGTGTTTATAAAAATAAAGCTTAATGTACAAAAATATTACTGTACATTATAACGCATCATATTTAATAATATCTATTATGTACTATGTTCATAATCTTTGTTCTATATGTCCATAAACACTAAATTATTATACATCATATGTATATTCATTCAGTTTATAGTAAGTTCATAATATTTCTTCTATATGTTCATAAAATAAAGTTTAATGTACATAAAATGACACTAAAGCAATGAGTTTATATACCTATATACGGAGCATTTATTTTTTAAAAAATAAAAAATATATCAATATGAGTATCATTTAAAAGGTCTCAATTAGAACTTTTTAATGACATATCTTTTATATATTAATTTTACTTGTACAAAAAAAAATTAAGTTGAAAAAAAATGTTTAGGGAGAAAAAAATTGGGATTGTTTAGGTGCATATTGCTACATGCGTTCCGGTCAACAATATAACTATTGCCACTATAAGAACAATCACATCAATAGTTTTTCTTGAATTTTGGGTGAGTTTTTATGAGATGGAAGAGAGAGTCGGGAGGAAAAAGATGGTGAGAGGTTGTCCCGCAAGAGATCATTTTTGTGGGTCCCTTTAAAAATAATAGAAGAATGCCAAAATTTGTGCGCGTTACGTGTACCGACAATGCCGAGCACGTGCTCGTTAGACGCGTAAATCAACACTAACACCTTTTTCCCATTTCCTTTTCCATTTTAGTGCCCCCACCCCCATCCCTCTTTTCTTCCTCTCTCTCCCCTTCACTCCCTCCTAGTTTCTTGATATGGCCCTAAACACCACAACCACTTATTTTTATTACTAGTTACCACGCATTGTGTGAATAATCTGATGCCCAATGTGTATTTAAAATTTTTTTTTTTTTTTGAAAACAAATGAGAAACGATCATATTATAGCAAATCTGAAATACAATTAGGAGGGAAAGAAACCCACTCTCCAAGGACAGATGAACAACCAGCCGCCTATGCAAACACATGAGCAACGTGATTTGCTGACCTTTTGACATAGCGAACCAAAATGTTCCCAATGCCACAAACAATCCTAGGACACTGCTTAACCAGTAAACCAACATGCGAATAGTCTAGTCTTACAGAATTAAAAGTAGTACAAAAGTTCAAACAATTAGACTCTAAAATATTACCGTTTGCGGGACGATTCTTAATCCACGCCAAAGCTTCTTTCACTCCCATAGCCTCCACCAGATATGGATCATTACCACATGATAAACGACCACTCCAGGCCACCACGAAAGCTCCTTGATGGTCACGTAAAACAGCTCCATACGTCACTGTACATGCGTGCAACGCTGCGTCCACACTGCATGATAACATCCCCATAGGGAGTGGTCTCCAAATAGCTAGACCAGCAGCCGTAAGTTGAGACGACGAGCAAATCACATCATGCAACAACCAAAGTATCCACATAATTATGCATGGCTGTTAACGTCCACACCTTCCCATTCCAAATTAGATCATTACGGACCAGCCAAAGCACCCCGAATCTTGCAACCATAAGCACTGTCTCGTCCATACTGGGTGATCTCATAGTAGACTCCACAAATTCAATGAAAGAACGCCCTTGCAGCACGTCACTACAAGCCCAAACCTGTTTGGTAATAGAACATTGCATAACAAATGAGATATGGTCTCCGTAACAAAAGAACACAAGGGGCAGCCTCCCCCAATCCACACATGTTTGGTCCTTAATACATCCCGAACAGGTAGGACATTTCTCACACACCGCCAAAAAAAATTCTTGACTTTGGGAGGGACCGATATTTTCCATAATCGTCCACACTCAGTAAATAACACATTACGATCTTGTAATAAGAGATTACGAGTGAGCAAACAATAACCATGTCTTACCGTGTACTGCCCTCTAACGCCCCCTTTCCAACACTAACTGTCACTATGATAAGGCGAGGTCGGAGTCTTCAGAATTCTCGAGGCATCATATTCAGAGAATAAATCGTGCACCACCTCTTCATAGTTAAAAGATTACAAACCTTCGCTTCCTTTAGTTCACCCCCAAACAAAGGTATCCGAACCATTACCCACCCTGCGAACAACACCCTCACGAAGTAAAGCCTGTCAAGCAAGGATACTCCGCCAAATATAATTCAGATTACTACCAAGATTACCCGTTAAAAAATAATTGTCTAGAAAATACCTGGCTTTAAGCACTTTACTCATCAAGGAATCAGGGGTGGTAAGTATACGTCATCCCTGCTTTGCCAGCAATGCTACATTAAACTCATGAAGTCACTTAAAACCTATACCACCATATTGCTTAGGGATGGTCATACGAGACCAACTCATCCAATGAATGCCTCTACCAACTGCGCCACTATGCTGCCACCAAAACCTGTTCATAATGTTCTCAATCGTGTTACACACACCAACAGGAAGAAGGAAAACCGACAAGGAAACGCAACACTTTTTAAAAGCACTTCCTTTCCTGCGCGCATTAACAACTTTGTCTGCCATGAATCGATCCTTTCTCGCACTTTCTGTTCAATGTAACGGAAAACCGCAGTTCTATTTCTACCGAGGAAAGATGGTAAACCCAAGTACCGCCCAAAATCGTGGACCTGCTTAACACCAAAAACCGCTGCTACATGGTTTCTCAATTCAAGCCCCGTATTAGTACTAAATATGATGCTAGACTTATCAAAATTTATCACTTGTCCCGAAGCACAACCATACTGTAATAAACAATTCCTCACTTCCTGCGCTTCTGGGTCAGTTGCTTTGGAAAAAAAAAAAAAAAAACTATCATCGGCGAAGAAAATGTGAGACACGGCAGGGGGCTCTCCTTGCCACTTTTACGCCATGAATGTTCCCCCGAGCTTCCTTCTGTTGCAACAAGAGTGACAAGCCTTCTGCACATATGATAAATAGATACGACGATAAGGGATCCCCTTGTCGAATACCCCTAGTAGGAATCACAATACCCGCAACTTCCCCATTCACCATAATGTTATACCGAATCGAGGACACGCATAATAGGTCAATATCAACCCACCCTCGGGCGAATCCCAATGCTAAAAACATACCCACAAGAAATCCCCACTACATCCTATCGTAGCTTTCGCCATTTCCAATTATAGCGCAGCCTACCCCACGTTACATCCTTCTTCCTTCTCAAAAATTGGCCAATCTCACATGCTACAATGATATTATCGGAGATGAGACGATTAGGCACGAAAGAACTCTAGGATGGGAATATGATAGAGTCAAACACCTCCTTCATTCGGTTAGCCACTACCTTAACAAGAACTTTGTAGGCAACGTTGCACAACGCAATTGGTCTTAGATTAGACACTTTGACAGGCACTTTTTTCTTCGAGATCAAGACAACAGTGGTATTGTCCAAACCCGGCGGCAGACTGCGACTTTCAAAATAAACCTTCACAAAATCAGTTAGATCACGGCCCATGGTCAACCAAAATTTTTTATAAAAAGACAGTGTCATACCATCGGGACCCGGGACCTTGTCAAGGGCCAACGAGAATAACACTGCATTAACCTCTTCTGGCTCAATAGGCTTAAGCAATTGGACATTACAATCAGAAGGAACACGACATTGGACAGTATTAAACAAATTCCCATCACAGTTAATAGACTAAAAAATATAAGCAAAATACCTCATCACTTCCTCATTCATGGCTGCACCCTCCACCCACGAACCAACATGATCCTGGAGACGCAACAACTGATTATTTTTCACTCGCGAAGACGTTCATATCTAAACAATATCCAGTGGAAAATCCAATCCCATCGACACAACTTCATCCTTCTCTTAAGGGGTTCATCTAGACCTGGCAATTTGGGCATACGAGTTCGTTAACGGGTCGACACGAACACGATAAGGCTAAACACGGACACGACACGTTAAGGTTAATGGGTTCAAATTTTTAACACAAACATGATTTGTTAACGGGTTAAACGGGTTGACACGATATACATGTTTTGTTAACATGTTTCTGGTGGTGTCGGCATGATATGATGCGAAACCCATTTAAACCGGCTAAACTGGTTAATATATTAAAATAAACTAAAATTTAAAGTTAAGTTATATTAAAAAAAGAAATAAAACCTACAGTTCAATTCATCAAACAAGCTAAAAAAATATTCAATTTATAACATTCATAAAATGATAAAATAACATCCAAAAATCATAATTAAAGAACTCCATACTAGTTTTTAGAATAAAATTGAACACAATAAAAATTTAAATTTAAGATTGTTGAACATCAATAATTGGTGTAGGATCTTAGCATAATATAGTAAATTCATCCTTATTCATGTTCATGATATCTTTTATAATCTCATTCATGACAATAGTTCTTACCTAAATGACAATGGTTCTTAGCGGGTTATAAACATGTTTGTGTAAACGGCTTAACACGATAATATTAACGAGTTAAACGGGTTCTTAATAGGTTTAACGGGTTGACTTGTTAAGACACGAAACATAATGGGTTCTTAACGTGTCAACCCGTTAACGACCCGGGACACATTAAGGCTAAACACTAACCCGTTATTTTCGTGTCGTGTTAACGGGTCGTGTCCATAATTGCTAGGGCTAGGTTCTTCAACCTTCAGCGAAACCCTCACACGGAAATAGCTACACCAATTTCTACCAAAATTATTTGTTTCGGCTGCAACGAACTGGCCAACATAATTCCCTATTTGTTCAACA